GATGCACGAAAGCCTATGTTTTCCCATACAAAGTCCGTCCCCGAACCTCGATGATCTACCTCTGCGGTGCGACGGGTGCGAGACGGTCTCGTGTGTGGTCGGATCATGTTCGGATCATGTTCGGATCGGTCTCGGATCATGCTCGGATCGGTTCCGCATTGTAAATGGGGTTTCAACTGTTTTTCGTGCATGTGTGGTCGACAGAATTCTATTGTGATTTGCAACTGTAGGATCGTTCCCGCATTGTAAATGGGGTTGCAAGTGGTGCTGGTGGATGAGTTGCCGATGGAATTCCATTGTGATTTGCAACTCTAGGATCGTTCCCGCAATGCAAATGGGATTGCAAGTGGTGCTGGTGGATGAGTTGCCGATGGAGTTGTGAAGGAAGTCTCGCACGAAATGCGTTTTTGAGAGATAGCAGATGCACGAAACCCTATGTTTTTCCATACAAAGTGCGTCCCCGAACCTCGATGATCTACCTCTGCGGTGCGACGGGTGCGAGACGGTCTCGTGTGTGGTCGGAACGGTCTCGGATATGGTCGGATCGGTTCCGCATTGTAAATGGGGTTTCAACTGTTTTTCGTGCATGTGTGGTCGACAGAATTCCATTGTGATTTGCAACTGTAGGATCGTTCCCGCAATGTAAATGGGATTGCAAGTGGTGCTGGTGGATGAGTTGCCGATGGAATTCCATTGTGAGTTGCAACTCTAGGATCGTTCCCTCACTGTAAATGGGATTGCAAGTGGTGCTGGTGGAGGAGTTGCCGATGGAGTTTTGAGGAAGTCTCGCACGAAATGCGTTTTTGAGAGATAGCAGATGCACGAAACCCTATGTTTTTCCATACAAAGTGCGTCCCCGAACGTCGATGATCTACCTCTGCAGTGCGACGGGTGCGAGACGGTCTCGTGTGTGGTCGGATCATCCTCGGATCATGCTCGGATTGGTCTCGGATCGGTTCCGCATTGTAAATGGGGTTTCAACTGTTTTTCGTGCATGTGTGGTCGACAGAATTCCATTGTGATTTGCAACTGTAGGATCGTTCCCGCATTGTAAATGGGGTTGCAAGTGGTGCTGGTGGATGAGTTGCTGATGGAATTGCATTGTGATTTGCAACTCTAGGATCGTTCCCTCACTGTAAATGGGATTGCAAGTGGTGCTGGTGGATGAGTTGCCGATGGAATTCCATTGTGATTTGCAAGTCTAGGATCGTTCCCTCCCTGTAAATGGTTGCGTCAAGGCTCCTTCGTGCTGTGGCTGCATTGGTAATACTATTGTCTTTTGCAGCTGGACTTCGTAAATCGTATTGGAGTGGCTGCATGAAGGCTGCCACAGTGATTTGTTGGCAGATTTTCTTCATTTTGGCGCTAGTGAATTTCCTTCTAAAAATTCTTTTAAAAAGTGCTTCAAAATCGTCTTTTTTTTCGCTCTGGCGTCGAGATCCGGTTTTGGAGCTACAATTTCCGACGCCGTTGTGCGTAGTTCTATTGTGTTTTGCAACTCAGTCTCTGCAGATCGCATTGTAATGGCTGCGTCAAGGTTGCTTCGTGCTGTGGCTGCATTCGCAATACTATTGTCTTTTGCAGCTGGATCTCGTAAATCGTATTGGAGTGGCTGCATGAAGGCTGCGACATGGATTTGTCAGCAGATTTTCTCCATTTTGGCGCTAGTGATTTTCCTTCTAAAAATCCTTTTAAAAAGTGCTTCAAAATCGTCTTTTTTTCGCTCTGGCGTCGAGATCCGGTTTTGGAGCTACAATTTCCGACGCCGTTGCGCGTAGTTCTGTTGTGTTTTGCAACTCAGTCTCTGCAGATCGCATTGTAATGGCTGCGTCAAGGTTGCTTCGTGCTGTGGCTGCATTGGTAATACTATTGTCTTTTGCAGCTGGACTTCGTAAATCGTATTGGAGTGGCTGCATGAAGGCTGCGACATTGATTTGTCAGCAGATTTTCTCCATTTTGGCGCCAGCGATTTTCTTTTTAAAAATTCTTTTAAAAAGTGCTTCAAAATCGTCTTTTTTCGCTCTGGCGTCGAGATCCGGTTTTGGAGCTACAATTTCCGACGCCGTTGTGCGTAGTTCTATTGTGCTTTGCAACTCAATCTCTGCAGATCGCATTGTAATGGCTGCGTCAAGGTTGCTTGGTGCCGCGGCTGCATGCGCAATACTATTGTCTTTTGCAACTGGACTTCGTAAATCGTATTGGAGTAGGTGCATCAAGGGTTCGACAGTGATTAGTAGTAGTGCTGGGAATTGATTAATGAAAGCTTTAATAGATGACATATGAGAAGGGACGAAATGAGAAGAGATGAGGTGGGATAAGGTGAGAAGAGCTCAGATGAGATGAACTGTGGAGTGTGAAGAGTGCAGTGTGAAATGTGGGGCGTGAAGAGTGCAGTGTGAAGTGTGAAGTGTGAAGTTTGGAGTGTGAAGGAAGCAGTGAGAAGTGAGAAGTGTGAAGTGTGGACTGTGAAGTGTGGAGTGTGAAGTTTGGAGTGCAAAGAGTGCAGTGTGAAGTATGGAGTGTGAAGAGTGCAGTGTGAAGTGTACAGTGTGAAGGAAGCAGTGGGAAGTGAGAAGTGTGAAGTGTGGAGTGTGAAGTTTAAGTTTGGAGTGCGAAGAGTGAGTGTGCAGTGTGAAGTGTGAGGTTTGGAGTGTGAAGGCAGCAGTGAGAAGTGAGAAGTGTGAAGTGTGGACTGTGAAGTGTGGAGTGTGAAGTGCGAAGTGAGAAGTGTGAAGTTTGGAGTGTGAAGGAAGCAGTGAGAAGTGTGAAGTGCGAAGTGAGAAGTGTGAAGTTTGGAGTGTGAAGTTTGGAGTGGGAAGGAAGCAGTGAGAAGTGAGAAGTGTGAAGTGTGGACTGTGAAGTGTGGAGTGCGAAGAGCGCAGCGTGAAGTGTGAAGTGAGAAGTGTGAAGTTAGGAGTGTGAAGGAAGCAGTGAGAAGTGAGAAGTGTGGAGTGTGAAGTGCGAAGTGTGAGTGAAGTGTGAAATGTGAAGTGCGAAGTGAGAAGTGTGAAGTGTAAAGTTTGGAGTGTGAAGTTTGGAGTGGGAAGGAAGCAATGAGAAGTGAGAAGTGTGAAGTGTGGATTGTGAAGTGTGGAGTGTGAAGTGCGAAGTGAGAAGTGTGAAGTTTGGAGTGTGAAGGAAGCAGTGAGAAGTGAGAAGTGTGAAGTGAGAAGTGTGAAGTGTGGACTGTGAAGTGTGGAGTGCGAAGTGCGAAGTGAGAAGTGTGAAGTGTGAAGTGTGAAGTTTGGAGTGTGAAGGAAGCAGTGAGAAGTGAGAAGTGTGAAATGTGGAGTGTGAAGTGTGAAATGCGAAGTGAGAAGTGTGGACTGTGAAGTGTGAAGTGTGGACTTTGAAGTACGAAGTGTGAAGTGTGGACTGTGAAGTGTGAAGTGTGGACTGTGAAGTGTGAAGTGTGAAGTGTGGACTGTGAAGTGTGAAGTGTGCAGTGTGAAGTGTGAAGTGTGAAGTGTGAAGGAAGCAGTGAGAAGTGAGAAGTGTGGAGTGTGAAGTGTGGAGTGTGAAGTTTGAAGTTTGGAGTGCGAAGAGTGCAGTGTGCAGTGTGAGGTGTGGAGTGTCGAGGGTCGGACACGGTCGGGACAGGGTGTCTTTGAACTATAGGTCATTTATGTTTGGGAAACTTCCGCCGCCGGCTTGCCCGGGTCTATGTTATATGATAGTGCCTATATAATCATATGATAGAACATATCTACCCCAGAGTTTGGTGTCAAGGTACCAATAGGATTTTGGGCGTCCCCAGGGGCTCCCCACAGGTCCTTTAAGGTGAATCACTGAGCTGCGAGGCTTCGGAAGATCTTCACACTTCGAAGTTTGCCCAACACAGCAGAGGCAGCTGTGAGTTCTCTTGGAATCATGGGGATGGATCAAAAATCATCAAACCCCCATGAATTTCATCTGATTAACCATATTTAAGCCATATTTTTCAGGTGAATTTGACATAATTTAACCATATTTAAGCCATCCCCTGAGCATCACCGTTGATCTCAACGTGGCACCATGCACTGCCGCAGGTCTTGGATGGCCATATGATCAAGGTGGATCTGTCAGGTACGACTTCTCACCATCATCGCTTGAAACATCTTAAAACATGATGTCTGCTTCAATGATTGAAAGATTTGAAAGTCCCAATCTTACAGGACCCCCCCCAGGATGTTTGGGTTTAACCACCATGGTTTTCTCAAAGATTCATCCATTGATGTTGCTGTAGGACTTCCTTCCGCCAAAGATCGTCTCGATCAGAGCGAGGAACGGCGAGTGGATCTCTCAGCATGGGAACTTTCCTAATTTGCAAATCTTCATGAACTTCTACGGTAGTGATATCCAAGTTGTGTTGCAAGTTATATCCAAGTTGGATAAATGGATATAAAAATGGATCAAGGTCGAGAAAATCAAGGAAAATGAAGGTTGCATTCGGTTGAGGTTGTAGGCATTCCCATTCGGTTTGTTAACATCATCCCTGAATTCACGATGGTCAGCTACTCTAGGCAGCTAGCTGCCCACGGTTTTTGGAACTCCAAATGATGTGCAGCAAGTACGGCCGCTGGAAGCAAATGTGCACGCAAGATATATATCCAGATAGATGTGTTTATCATGTTTTGATCATGTCACTTACGGTGTCATTGCATGCATACCCGCTTTCACTCAGAGAACCTGCCATATATCCTCACCAGAGCCGATTTTTCACAGAGTGCTGAGGTTAGCTTGCCGCATCTTCCAGACTATGCAGGACAAACCCGGTCAAGATTTTGACGGTGGTGAAAAGAAATGAATTTTAATCTGATTGACAAGTGTCAACTGACGTCACACGGCTTGGGTTTGTCAAGATTTGTGGTCCAAATGGAACCATGGACTTCATTCATTTCAGGGGCCACTAATTTTGATCCAGCAGGGAATCTCTGGAGCCTTGGGTATATATTGGATTATATTGGGGTAATTATGGGTGGGATGTGGCCAACTTGGACCGAACTGCAGGAATTGATACAATGTTCGTTATGAATGCAGACCGGGTTCGGACCTCAGACTGACCAATCGATGCTGCAGTGGCCAGCTCCACCACCATGAAGGTGCCCAACCTTGAGAAAGCGGAGGACGGAGCTGCGATGCTTCGCCATGCAACCTGGGGAGCTGTTGCATCATGGTCTCAAAATATACATATCTCATGTTATTTTGATTTTAATCTTCGAAGATCCTTTGAAGAGTCGGAAGATGAAGATGGATCCTGACATTGCCTCATTTCCTGACACCATCTGCGCCAGCAAAGAGGCAACAAAAAATATGGTAGACAGAACAGCATTTTGCGTTTCTCTTCACAAGCCGCAAGATATTGGGATTGCAGCTGATAGTGGCGATTCACCTTGTTTCTCCAGGCTCCAGCTGCCCCTCGCGCTCATCCTTTGCAACGGCGACCTGCATTGCAACCCTTGCAGCCTGCGGAGTCTCTATCACCACCTCGGTCACCAGTGCAGCTCAACTGGAATGAGAAATAAGATCAAACCATGTCAAGCCGCTGGGGGTCTACTTCCATACCCAACCTGCTCAACATGTTGTTTTTTCTTTTCGAGACTTGGGCAGCAGCGCCAAGTACACCAAATCCATTGTCCGTGTGGGGAAACGATGGGAAACGGAATAAAAAACCAAGGTTTTTCGGGGTTTTGGGTATCTGCAGATGCAGCATCTCCAAATTCTCCAATTGCTTGGCCATGCCATGCCCAGTGCCCAGGCAGAAGAACGACACGCGCAATGAGGAGATGCCCAAGCGACATGATGATCTTCCTGGCATCGCCGAGCGAAAGTGGGAGCCTCGCTATCGTACAAGACAAAATGTGTTGGATTTTTCAGAGACGAGGACGTGTCATGGTTTATTTATTTAATTTTATTTACGCATTTTTCGTTTTTTCATTAGCCAAAAAAATCCAATTGTTGCATCATGTTGCATCATGTTGCATCATTGTAGACACATCTTTCACAGCTGAAACTAAGCGCGAAGACCATCATGGGCACCATGGACTGAGGTCATCCAAGTTGACAAGCAGTACAAAGACATCAAAGACTCAGAAGGCCAGGCCTGGTGTGACCTGAGATGAGCCTTCAAGTGCGAGAGAAAGCGAACTCAAGAATTTACATACAGTACTATGCACTAAGGAATATAATGTGAAATACCATAGATGCCATCAATATCCATAGATCCAATACATCTTGAGACATTTGAAGTCAGCGCAGAACCACTGTTTGGCTAAGGTTCCTGCCATCACAGTGGCAGGATCGGCAGGATCTGCAGGTGCTTGGCGGGGAAAAGTGTTTCAAGGTTTGGAGCGACAAACAGATCTTCCAAGTCCAGTTTTTGCCCCTGAAACTGAACCATCTTTTACCATCTTTTTAACATTTTTTTTGGGAACCACAATTTTTTCGGAGACCGAAGAGCTGTGGAAGAGATGTTTGAGGAACCCCCTGAAGAGTTTTTTCGTGGCACAAGATACCCGCAGAAACGCGTTTTTTAAAATAGTTTAAAATGATTCCGGGTGAAAGATGGGACAATTCTTCCGTTTCTTGGATGCTGGCCCTGGCCCACTAAGTACCATGTACAGCAATATCCAACAATTGCACTGGGGCCCAGTGATTCCCGTGCCAATTCGCTGGGCCGATGATTTCGGCACATCGAACTGCTCTGGAGGTGCCTGTTATGGCCACCGACCCCTTTCCAAGCAGAAGTTTGGAAGTGGATACAACCAGCTCCCAGACCGTACCGTGAAGGTGCCAAAGTCAGTGCAGAATTGGGGGTCCGCAGGGCAGATTGGGGGTCATGACCTGCTGGAAAACTGTGGAAATCTTGGCTGAGTGGTGTGGTTTATGGTGGTTTCATGGGGTTTCCAAGGGTTGATATGTTGAGATTCCGGGAAGATGATGCAACTGATCCAACTGATGCACCCTTTGGGGTGCCATATGGTGCCATACTCCACCCTTTCGGTGGCAAGGTGAAAGAGCCCAAGGGCCTGCGCACTGTGGTTGGCCTAGAGATGGGGATGGTCAGCTGGTGCAGTGGGCGCAAGTCAAGGTAGGTCATGTTGTGTAAAGCGTAAAGCCCTCGGGGTGTAGGTTTTTAGAGATTTTGAGAGCTATTGTGAAGACTTCGGGAATAGCACGGAATGTAATATGGAATGATAATTATGGAATGGCTAATAATTGCAGCAGGATGCAGCAGGTTGGAAGTTGGAATGGTATCGTTTTTCAACCATCCTATTTCTCTGGAATGGGTTCCAGGTTCCCATTGTTTCTAAATCGGCACGAGCACGGGATGTAGCCCAAAAAATGTCCAAAAAATGTCCGAACATAGTATGGCAAGAGTGTTTTGCTCCCCTGAAATTTGACAGACAGCCAGAACCCAACAATATGAGGTCATCAAAGACGATTTCTGGAAATATGCAATTTAGGTTTTAACAACTGTCAGACCCAGGTTGTATCCTTTTGCTTTCCCATTCGTATTGTTACGAGTCTTGTCGGATTGGTTTTTACCGTTTGGCACACCAACACATTGCAATTGAAAGTTCATGAGAATCCCAACAGACATATTCAGGGTAAAGCATCCACAGAACGGGGCATTCTTTGCACTATGTTTCATGACCTTCATGGGTAGCCCATGATTTCAATGTGAGGCGCGAGGCAACAAGGAGCGCTTGCCCCAGACCAGGTACTTCCAAGCTCCGGGCGAGAGTTGAGCATTTTGGATATGGGCAATAGATGGCAATAGTTTATAAAACCCTGGGATCTGCAGATGAACTGGTCACTGGTCATTCTCAATACAGAACCATTCCATTTCAGGGCACTTAGCTTTTACCATTTTCTGGGGAATTCCTCCCATGGTGGGCCCCGTTGCACGGGGCCACGGGTGTGTCCGAATCCAGGAAGTTGCGTCCCTTGCCACTGGAGATGAAGGAAGACGGAACTTGCCAAGGCATCCAAGGCCCAGGGGATCCCAGGGGATGGTCATGGATGGTCAGATGATCTGATCAGACTATGCTGAGCGTATCTGACAATTTTTTTTTCATCACCATGAACTTTCCCATCTTTCACAACAGGAGGCTGTGACCAAACATGTCCAGACAGCACTCTAAAACTGTATTGGCCGTAGGCCAATTTGTTTTGCAAGCCAAAATCTATCAGCAGTGTAAGAGGGGAAGATCTAAATTTCCGTACATATTTAATGGTTTAACATGTTTAACTAGGGCAACACATTGGATGTGTCCAGCGGTTCCACATTATCCAAGGTGCATCACAGCCCTCCAGTTCCGGTAGTGAGACCTTGGGGTCCAGCAGGCGGGGCAGCCACAGAGTGTCGAGCCGTGTTTCTCGCTGTGTCGAGCAAAAATTAGGCGGGAAAGGAAGACATCAAAAGGAAGAGCCACTGAAGAGGCGATCCGAACTGCGGCTGCCTTTGAAGGGATTTCGCATAGGACCTATGAAGGGAATACACTGAATACACCAAACCCCACAAAGAGGCGGGTCTCAATATTTAGCTCAAAGCTAGAGATTAAACCAATTGCCCTTTTTTTTCAAAGACCTGGAATATTTCTCTCCATGTGAACCAAGAGCACCATTCGCAGCATGGATCCCAGGAGCATGGCGACTCAGTGACCCCCTCGCCGACAGCAGCCAAGCGGCGAGCACAGAGGACGCAACAAGGGGATGCTAATCAACACGAAATGGGGAGAAACAACAGAAACAGAGACTTAGATGTGACCCAACAAGAGATTGGAACAATTGAAGGTTATTCGGACTAGCCAATCAACATGGACATGTCGAGCAACACGATTTGGAACAGTCTGAAACTATTGCAAAGTGTTCCCCACGGATACTTCAACATGACATATACCGTACCTGAAGAAAATGAAGCGACGGTGATTGGAGACAATCCCTGTAGATGGGAAATTTCACCACCGCTGTCCGTTGTGGGCGGTGGATTTTCAATCATGTTTAGGGCTTTACACTTGGGGTAGCCCAAGTGTGGTCTGACCTATGAAGCCAATGACATCCAATGACGAAATATGACAGAAACAATGGTGCTTTGATCAGCAACCAATTTTCAGGTGACATATGGCGCCATGTGTCGATTCAGGATCTCCAGAATCTCCCTGCGCCAGGAAGCTGCACAAGACAGCAGAGATCTATGGCGCACCTGACGCTGTGGGGCACACCTTAAGGCGCGGCCATACCAGTCATGTCCAAACGAGGACGTGGGTAAACTATACAAAAACTATCAACAACTTAGGTTTTTCACTACTGGGAATCACTTTGGGTACCCCATGAGCTACACCTGGGTGCCATGTCAACTGCTTTCAAGGATCCAGCCACACTTTTTTTCCCGCCTCACACGCAACGATGTTGTCACCGTCAGGTTGCCACATGCATTGCCTCGTTTCGAGCGAGCGGAGGCGCGATGGTTTGTTTGGGTATGGCTCAAAATGGGACACTGCCATTGAGGTGGAGAAAGCTAGAGGATTCAATGCTCCTTCATCAGACGATGCGATCAATCCTTGGGGTCAGTCTTCAACCTTCCACAGCAGTGGGTACAGTAGCTCATTGCACTAGCTTGCAATGGACCTATCTCACTGGTTCCCAATGCATCCCAATGCTAATTTCTTTGGCAAATGCTTAGGTGAATGCTGGACGTTCCGACACGCAAGTGCCACTGCCACCAGCTAAGAGCCGTGATGCCTTGAAATTGTCAATCTTTCCGCTTTGGACCCATTGGAATCGTTGGAGCTATGGATTAAGGCCGACCCCCAGTTCTCTGGATCCGTTGGTAAAGACCGCTGCATTGGCACGAGCCTCAAAGGTGGGAAATCAGCCTGTCTTTGAAATCCTTGAACTTGATCAATTTATATCAATTTGATCAACCAAGGCCGACATTCAGCTCAAGCCGCTTAATGTTATCTCAAAGGCCAGTGACAGATCTCTTCATGAAACCCTCTGATGAAAGGCTTTGCTCTTCTGACATTCCATGAGTCTCCCAAGCATCGCTTCTGAGCTGTGTGCTGTCATGGCAGGTGAATGCTGTACGTTGCGACACACAGGCTTCACCGTCCCTTGGATCTTGGAATTGCGCTGCCTTGGGAATCTGGGGACCTCCAAAGATCCTGAAAGCGACTGAGGCCGAAGAAAGAGAATTCCCTGGATCCTTTGGTTAAGACTGCTGCATTGGCCAGAGTCTCAGTTCAATGCACTTCGCACGGCAAATGCAGTAATTAGCCCAGATTTCCTGGTGCTAGATTATAATATATATATATGTATTGTATATATATATATATATATACATTTTTTAAAATGGTGATTGTTATGGTCCACTTGCAACGATTTCTTGTACTGATATTTAAAAAAAAAATGTTTATCAGTTTATCCTCTTCAACCAAGGCTGATATTCAGCTCAAGCCTCTTAATGATATCTCAAAGGCAAGCTGGGAGTGATTGCGACATATTGCGACACTCTTCAAATCGAGCAAGCACGTTCTGGTGCCGCGCAGGTGAATGCTTGTCGTTCAGACAACCAGTCTTCACTGTGACAGGCTGAGATCCCTCGACTTTGCTGTGCCTGTTCGGTAAATATCCGGAGACTCCGAGAGACATTTATTTTGATATGATTGAAAAAAACAGGGAATGCCCTTCTCCAGCCTATTCTATAGGAATGATTATGTGTTCCGGGTAGATAGAAGGGGAAACTATTTATTGAACAAGAAAATTGCATTTAGCCAACAAAACAGCATTTAAAAGGCCGAACAACTTTTTCACGTCTCTACTTTTAGCTTAACTGGAGACTGCAGCAGATGTTCTAAAGACAGTTCCGATTTGGATACATTGTTTCATGTTGGTTTGTCCAAAAATACCGGCAAAAATGTGTAGATTATTGTAGTTTTCTCATTAGATGGCCGATGGCCGTCATTTTGGTAGTATAGCCTATTTCTATCTATTTCTGGATTACCCCGAAATCTGGATAATCTGGGGGATGTCAGGAACCTCTGCGACGTAAGGCCAAATGCTTCAAATTCCTTCGATCCTTTGGTCAAGCCTACCTTGGCCGGGTGGCCTCGAGACACAATCGACATCAGTCGATGCAGATTTTCAACCTGGGCCCAGGTTGAGAATCGATCCAGTATCAACATATATATATATTATATCAACATCAACAAAAACATCAGATTCGGATGGAAAAATCATGAGGATCATCCAGTATCGTCAGTATCCATTTTGCCCATCATTTTGGATGATCTGTAATTCTCTGAGGCCGACGTCCCGCCTAAGCCAACCTTTGATTGGTCAAAGGCTTCTGCCAAGCCTGGTCGGGAAGTAGCTTGATCTCATCCTTCAAAGAATGGGGTCATTATATGAACTGCAATATATTGAAATGATACGATCTATGATATATCCATACATATATATATATATACATTATACATATACATAGATATATTATCCATTGTATATATATATAACATAATATATATATATATTATATTGAATACACGGTATATATTGTTGATGATCGCCTAAGTTTTTTACTGGTCACTCGCAGCTCCCCCGTTACTTCACTGGCCATCAGGCATTAGCTTGTTGTTGCCACTGAACCCAGCCTTAGTGTTTGAGCCTGTTTCAGAGACTCCCTAAAGAGAAAGATGACAAGGTTCCACTTTTCCATACTTTTCCCAGTTGTTTGTTTGGGCATCATTGGTGATTAACACGTGATTAACAGGCTATCTTTCCGGATGATTCATCCCCGGTGATCCCATATTGGGGCCACAAACTCGACGATTCCCATATGGGATTCCCTTCAGAATAATTTTCAATATATGATCTCAGTTACTATTCCCATCACTTTCCCATAACCTTCGCGATATCATTGACCATGTAGGCCGCTGCCGGCGCTACTGCTGTTGACGCTTGGAGCGCCCTCAGCCGGAGTGCACAGTTTTTTGGGGAGGGGATGGCTGTGGAAATACATTTTTTCTTGGACTTGGGGCAACATCCCGAGATTTTTTTGGGGTGTTTGGGATGGAACATCTTTGTGGGTATATGCACACACACACACACATATATATATATATATTATATATGTACACACAATCTTCAACTGGACAGGATCTGACATTGGTAAAATGGTTTGACTTTTTCCTCAAAACATTGGATGGTTGAGGTTGAATACACAAAATAGTCTTAAGTTTGTGGGCCACCTGGTACGCCCATTTCTAGCTATAACCATACAACCTATCAAGAACATGGTTGTCACACCATGTCCCACGATATGGGATGGACATCCCAATCATTGCGATGTCCATCCAAGATGATCCCAGATGTGTTATGTCTTCATGTGATTGGTGACACGAACTGTGAAAAACATCCTGTCAATTTTCTTCGCAGTGTGAAAACCAGGGTTAGACTCAGCTTCTGAGCTGAGTCTTTCTATTTTCTGGATTTTGCAGGATCTCTTGCATGAGTTTGGTAATTGTCATTGTATAGTTTGATTGGTTTGACTTTGATACGCAATATGCAGTCGTGCATCCATGATTTATCCATACTTCCATAGCGCTGCTGGTGAAATGAATTGCAGTTTCCGAGGTGCTTCAGTTCGCCATGGTGACGGCCCCTCATTTGCTTCCCTCTTTCGTGCAGGCCAAGTCGCAACTATCAGAAGGTCTATTCAAAGGTTTATGACTTATATATACTTATATAAATTGTGATTTGAACATTTTTGAACGGAGGATTTGACCTTTCTACACATTTTTGGTGTGTGGATCCGCTTAACATGCTTTTACACATGCTTTTACACATGCTTTTACACATGCTTTTACACATGCTTTTACACATGTTTTCCCTGCGGTGATGCCAGTGGTGATGGTGGTGATCTGGCAATTGCGAATGTAAATGCTTAAGCCGAGAATGGTCTCCACAGGACTTTCTGGATGTTCTAGATGATCTTTATCTAAAATTTCATACAGGAACAATTTTGAGGATTCAGAATCATCAGCAACATAAATATCATCAATGTAACGAATCATTTTATGATCATCCGGAAATATCCAGACATATCCAGACATTATGATCCAGGAACCAATTATTTGTTTACAACAGAACATATCATACAAACATATCATACAAACATATCATACAAACATCTCATACAAACATCTCATACACACATATACAATCATATGATAGACACTTGTAGACACTGTGTTTATCATGTTTAAGACCCAGGAAGAAATTAAACCCCTGGCAGGTCGGCAGCTTCCTGGTGGCCGGGCTTGCCCAGTTTGTTTTGGTGGTTTCTAGTGACCCATACCCTTACGTGTGATACGGTTCAATGGACACCTTGAATTTGGGGCCTCAAACCACTGGCAACAACATGGTCGATCGATACACGTATGCTTTTTGGTTTTTATACAGCCGTCACTTGGCACATGGTCGATCGATACATCTGACAAAGAAGGAGGTTTCAGGCAAATGGTCAAGAGTACACAGTCTTTTGCCTTAGGAATTGTAAGGACCATGGATTCTATCATCTTGGGGTCTCCTGCGAACTGACCTACAAGAAGATACAAGTGTCCCAAATCCCACGTACCACGCATGGTTGGCATTTTATTTTCTGACTCAACCACATCACAACACAACGAGTCACGACATTTTTGGAGCTTCAGGGTCCATGCCTTGCAACGTGCCATGGATCCCGCCTCATCTGGCGCAGCGCCAAAGCGCAGTTCTAAGCGAAAGTTGAAGGTTAAGGGACAAAAGTTGCAGGAGCTGGGTGTCATTCGTTGGGAATGCCTGGAGTATCCAGCATGCCATGAAACATCCAGATTAGGCATCTTGTGAACTTGCACGAATTTACAAATGGGTATGGCTCAACAGTTTTAAGCCAATGACATCCAATGACTCATTTTCTTCCATTGAAACCAATGACCCAAGGCATTGTGTGAATTTGAATCGAAATGGCCACCTTCGTAGATGATCAACTCATGAACCATCATTTTTTTGGGGGGGCCAATTGCAGGTCGTTCTGCCTCGCTCCGAGGACGGGGTGCCTCCAGCGGAGCCCCCTTACCCAAAGAAGCGGAAGTCGACGAAGTCGACGAAGCCGACGAAGTCAGACGCGAAGTCTGTGGAGGTCTCCGCCAAGGCCGGGATGACCATCCTTTTTTGGAAACCTCTGGAGACGATTCTTTGGTAACTTTGGATAACTTTGGTACTATATATGGAATGTTCAAGAAGATTCTTTTCAGATTAACATCTATAAACATCCAAGCCCGGATGATGTTTGATATGTATTGATATGTTAGATATGTGTATACTTGGAATAGTCTCGATTATAATTCAACTCGGCTAGAGAATCTTGCACTATGCCAAGGCCTATAGGGCCAAGCATGCCATCGTGGTGCAGAAGAGCTGCCTGGCTCCCCTGGCCACATTCCAGCAAGCGAGAAGCAGCCTGGGTGATGATTTGGTGAAAGCCATGGAAGAACAAGGATATACAGCTCCAACTCCCATCCAGGCGCTTGTTGATAACGAGTGACAGTGGCATTTGGTGCAGGGGGAACTCTTTCTTTTGCCAACAGACCCATGATGGATCACCAAGGCGCAAGCATGGCCCATAGCACTGCGTGGCCATGATTTGGTGGCCGTGGCCAAGACTGGCAGTGGAAAGACGAATGGTGTCTGGGCCGTCTGGGCGCAGTACTGTACCGTTTCCATTTCTGCTCGTCGAGTTGGGTGTCCCCAAAATTGGATGATCAATTCTGGGGCAATACTGTGGCAAAATTGGATGGATATTTATGCGGTCTCTGGGCCTTTAATGGGTTTTTTGACCCGTCTCAAAACTGGTGACCCAAGATGCAAAACATTGTTTGGCTTGAAGAAAGCCTAAGTACTGGTTTTCGGCTGACCAGTGTCAACTAAGCCACGACCAAACGCTTGGGCTGTCGTCAGAGGCTATTTGCTTCCTGCTATGGCTCTCATTGCCAAGAGGGGCCCCTGCAAGAGCCATGGGAAACACAAAACTGGACTTGATGCTGGGTGCAACAGTGCAGGTCGTCAAACACTTGGGTATACGGTATACCCATACCCTAATTTGTGGCATTGGGTTTAGGGGTCCCCTATTTTGAGACAAACTATTTTGAAGGTTTGTTTGTGACAATAGGAAAAGAACTTCCTTTCCTTGCTATCAACCATTTTGAGACACTTTAAACTAGGTATTGTGCAATGATGATTTGCAATGTTTTTTCTTCCGGAAATAGATTGCCGATCGCACATGTGTTCAATTCCAGAGGACATCCAAAGTGTTTGAAACAAAAGCATAAACCAGAGACTACCTGGCGGCTACCTGTCCATTTTCCAGCATCATGTCACCGGTAGCCGTGGTGAGGATGAACGACCCCCCGCACAGCCCAGCAGCTTGGTTATGGCGCCCACCCGCGAGCTGGTTCAGCAGATTGCCGTCGAAGCCAAGAAATTGGCGCCCGTGGTCTCTGCGCGAGTGCTGGGCATCTTTGGAGGTGTGGGAAAAGGTGCCCGGGTGGTTTGGGCCGATGTTTGGTACATGTTAAATGGGGTCAGGATGGGATTTGAGGATTGTGAAGATCAGTTGCAATTGTTTGGAAGATGACGATTTTTTTTGAAGGAATTGACACGAAAGGAGTCCAGTTGGCGCCTCGAATCCTAGAAAAAAAGCATCTTCAGCGCCTTCAGATTGCTGTCGCTGGGTTCAGGGCTTCACCCCGAGCCTCACAGGACCGCAGGTGTCAGCTTTGAAGGCCGGAGTGGATTTGCTGTGTGCTACCCCCGGGCGCCTTCGTGATTTTATGACTGGAGACAAGACGAAGGCGCCCTGGGACCCTCAAACCCTGGGACCCTGGGACGGCCATGTCAGTGCTCCAGAATTTGACGGGCTATAGTGCGGCTATAGCGGCTATTGAATAACTGTTACATCTGTTACATATCGACAGGAGTTGATACCAAGGGAACCCCTCTGGGGATATTCAGTGCCGATAATGCTGATCATCCTGAGGCACCTGTGTGCCTTGTCGACTCCGTGAGCTACTTGGTCATGGATGAGGCCGATCGCATGTTGGACATGGGCTTTGAACCCGAGATTCGCCAAATCATCGCCAACTGCCCAGCATCAGGTGCTGCTCAGGAGGTCTTGTCTGGTGAGGCACGACAGACCCTGTTCTTCACGGCCACATGGCCACCAGAAGTGCAGCGAAGTGCGCTACACTTCACACATCAGGCAGTGAAGATTCAGGTAGGAGGAGCTTCCAAAGAGACCTCTGCTGGGCTGGCCACTAACAGCAACATCAAGCAGATGGTGCGAGTGGTGCAGCACGACGACAAGATCATTGCTTTGAAGAAAGTCATTGTTTCTGACCTGAAACCTGGAGAAACGGCCATCGTCTTCGCAGGTGGGCTGTAGATCAGCGGGGTATTCCATATAGAAATATTATGAACTAGTCTTACTTTCCTTGGGCATTACTGTCATTGGCTACATTCCCAAACAAGGTCACTTCGGAAGATTCCAAGGGGCTGTTGCTCAGAAGGTTTGGAAGCTCAACATCATCCAAGCCAAAAGGTTTCCATCAGTCATCACGTTTCCATTCCATCAATTCTTTGAGCTTTGTGGCCAAGCCAGGTATTTCTCCCATTTAGTGGTGCCTTTAATCATCACTTCTTGATACAAAACTGGGTTGTTCAGTCATGGTTCAGCTGGAACCAAGCGGTTAACCCCTTCCAATTCTCTGCGAAAAACCGGAGGCCGAAAGCAGACGTGCGACGCCTTGGAGAAGGAGCTCACCTGGGATCCCATGAAGGCTGAAGCACCCATTTGCGCCTGGTGTCGAGCCCTGCATGGCGACAAGGACCAGCTGCTGCTCAATTGGATGATACGATGGGAAGTCACCTAGAACGACCTAGGCAGGCTGGTGGAGGAGGTTTTTCATTCCGACATTTGCCAACAGTGAATCCATATCCATTTTTAAATACGTTGCAACAAGACGATGAAAAGACGGGACGGATCCTTGAAGACAAGGGACCTGTTTTGATTTTGAACTCTCTCGTAGATTCTTGAAATAGTGTCCGTCATTCCATTTCAAGCTCAAAATCTGCTTAGTATCAGCTCATTTGTTCGTTGCCATGGCCTTTCGACACGTTTCCCTGTTGCTTGCGCTTCTTGCCGCATGCTGCTGGTTGCCCGCCTTCATTGGCTCATCGAAACTTGGAGCCCCGCGTCCACAGTTGCGGAGTCAAGCAGCCAGTGGTAGCAGTGGTAGCAGTGGTAGCAGTGGTAGCACGGAAGCAGGGACATTGAAGAACCCGGACTTCTTCTGGGGAAATGGCTTTGAAGAGGAAGATTTGGAGGAAGCAGCTCGAAAGCTCTCAGAGAACACTGGTTCAGAGCTTTGGGATCGAGCCACCTTTCCTCCGGAAGATAGGCACAGGATGGTTCTCATATGTCAAGATGTTCAGGAACTGATGGAGGTCATGTATGTTTTGATCATCACTTACTTGTTGGTGGTTTATGGTGGTTTCAAACATTTTTTTTCTCCATGTTGTGCACAATATATGGGATAATCCTTCCAATTGACTTTCATATTTTTCAGAGGGGTGGCTCAACCACCAACCAGCTTAGTTATTTGATCAGCTGTTGATGTTGGCCTTTGTCATCCTTTGTCCTGCCAGGCCGTCCTACATGAGCAAAGATGCCGAATGGACTCCACTTCCCAAGGAGCGGCGATGGATGGGACTCAAGGAGTTCATGGAAGCTTCGGCTTTGGCCAACTCCAATGTCTCAACTGCCTTGTTTTTGGTGCTCTCCCAGGGATCTGGCTATTTAGAAAAGGCCAAAGTCGATGCTGCTTTGGAATCTTGGAGATCGGATTCCGGCGGCCTGAATCAGGCTGGATGGAGTGTATCCATGTTTTGGGCCAAGGCGCAGATTGCATTTGGCTATGCCTGGCTGTATGGCATGTCCAGTTTCTGCGGATATTTCTTCTTCTTTCGTCCTCCGCTGGTGATCTATTTGGGAATCGACCTGCTGCCAGGTATTCCGCAATGGTGGACCGTCTAATAGAGGGCAACGGGAAGCCGAACACTTTTTAAGGCGCCAATGCCAAAAGCAGCAGAAGCGCCCAAAGCACGAACTATTTAAACCGATAGCATCCGTAGCAGTGGAAATCCCACTGGGTGCTGGTAGCACTACCTGCATCGCGGACCTCGTGCCACAGAGCCATGGTCTTTGCGTGAAAAAGAGGAGACCCCCTTGACGAGAACAGCACCTTCGCTTCCTTTGGAGTTTTCAGTCGCTGGATGCTTGTACTTGTACTAAGCGTATTTGGATGTATTTGGACGGATGTGCAAATGGCTGTGCTCGTGTGATACTGTGCCAATGCAGGAGCAGCAGGATCGTCAGAAAGCCCTAGCAGCTTTTCGTTTGTGGCTCAGCTCTTGTGTTCTGGCAATGTAACAAAGCCGTCCCTGTGCTTGATAGGTAAATCTTCAAATGATGTATGTTCCAACCCCAAAGCGTAGGCCACACTGCCCGTGATGTCACGTGATAGTTAACCAAGGTGCGATCACCGAAAACCCAAGAAAAGGACAGAAAGGCACAGGATGAGAGAGAAGTTAGCGACATGACGCAACACGCATGTGGAGCTTGGGAGTTTAGGTATCTCTTGAAGTCTTCGGGTAGAGTCTTTTGTTTCGGGCAAGTCATTGACGGGTGATGCGGATGGTGTGCAAAGATTCCGCCAGAATTTCTTCGATGGAATGCTGCAGGTGTGTTGATTGCCACGGATGTTGCCTCCCGTGGACTTGATATTCCTGGAGTTGCGCTGGTGGTCCATTTGGCATGTACTGGGTCCAACTGTTGGGAGTCTGATCAGTTGTTTAATGATGTTTATATAACCATAATTAACAACCATAGTTATATACCATGGTGTAATACAATAGTTAATTAGATTTAATTAGTAACCATTATAGTTGAACTATATATAATTACTGGCAAGTGAAAGTTTTTAACGAAATGCACCTGACCTGGGTCAAAGTGAGCTAAGAGTTATAGCCATTGATAGCCTCTCTCAGTCCAGTTTTCTTGTGACATGTGAAGGTTATCTTTGACTATGCGGAATCTTCGACGGCCAAGGACTGTATCAAGCAGTTGTGGCCGCCAACATTTCACAGATTTTCCCAGCTGGCAGTTTAATAACAATGATTATGATTACATTTTACAATATATTGTTTTATATATATATATTTTTAACTAATAACCCAAGTGTACATGGGATAAGGGGATAACATGATAAAACCCAGTTAAACAAGATAAACATTGATTAACCACCTACTTGTATATAAGATGGGTGTTTCCAGAAATAGAGGTACCCCAAACCATTGATCGCCCTACTGTAAATCCGATCATATCCTATGAACATGATAACTGTTATATACTAATGACTATCCAATCAAAATATCTATTATCCATCCTATAATTTTAAAATTCTTATCCTATTAATCAGTTAATATGTATCCTACTATATTGTTATCCTATTATATTAATCTTATAATCATTTATAATCTGTATACTGCTAAATCAGTTAACATGGTTTAACCTGACCTATAGCTGACTTGACGGCCAGGAAGCGGCCGAGAGCTACGTGCACCGCATCGGGCGGACAGGCCGTGCTGGCAAGGTGCCGAGGGCCCAAAAAAGGGGATGTGTTGATTGGGTCATGGTGGAATTTCATGGATTTTAGATGAATTTCATAAAGTGGGTTTGGATGGTTTTGGAAATTTTTGGAATATGTCTTAGAGTCTAGGGGTGTCTATATAGAATCACTCGAATTTCCGCGGATGATTTATGATGATGATATGATCCATTATGATGACTTCAGATTTGATGAATCATAATGATCACAATGACCCATTTTGATCCATTATGATCATCCAGATGCACCAAGGATTTTATGATTCCCTTCAGGAGGGGCGAGCTATCACCTTCTTCTGCCCAGAGAAGGAGCGGTTCTTCGCTTTGAAGACCGGTGTGGATGTGGAGATGACCATGTCATAGACAAGAGATGACAGAAATACATCTTGGAGACAGGGATTTAGCATCACAATATATTATATTCCCCCAATTGTATAAATGATGATGTGATTTAGCCAACAACAAAGGTGATACATGGTGATATGACGGGTTATTTATTTAATTCTGGCACATTTCTGTGATGTATTTATTTCTTTTCTGTCATAATCTACAGAAATCTAGCATGATTTTGCCCTATATGTCGAAGATACAATCCGATACTTGCAGAGGGGTGTCACTGGTTTCAACTCTCCTGTTGATTCGTTTCTCCCCAAGACAACTATTTTCTCAGCTCAGCCTTCAGGACGTGGGTGCGGAACGCCTGTGCCAACTTCTACGAGCTGCCGGTCAGGATGAGATACCATCGAAACGAGCTATGCGTTGCAGCAAATTGGTTCTCAGTATAGATTCCAGATGCTGAAAGTGCGGGACTCCGTTCAAAGTCCTTTTCTGCAACAGTTGGTGCAACAGTTTTCAGGATTTTTCAGCCACACAACCCTCCATCAAAATCCGTCTCCCAAGAAACCCGTGTCAACGTCACCCTTTGAATTGAGGAGGTGCCTCAGAAATTGGAGGAACTCGTGTCGGAAGCGTCTCGTGTGCAGGCCTCAGGAGAGATCAAGAGGAGTTGAAGAAAACAGCGATGGAGTTTTCGCTGAAATTTCTATGTTTTTTTTCCCCAGTTTTAAAAACTCAACCAAAACAGTTAAACATGTGCCACATTCATTCGGGTTTCAAACAAGATCCATGTTCTATCCTTTCCTTGGTCCCAGCAGGATTATCAATTTTTGGATATTTTGGTACTTGAGATCCAAGATGCATTTTCTTGTTTTCGCATGTTGTGTGCTAGATGCATAAAATTTATGTCAGAAGCCTTGAGGTTGAGGATGCCAGAAGATCCAAAGAGATCAAAGGCAAAGGCAAAGGGAAAGAAGCAAAAGGCAGCCGGGCTTCGGGTTTGTTGGATCCTGGAGCTTGGAAGATTTTGGAAGGTGACTGACTTAAACTGCTCATGCTGATCTTGAAGGCATCTGAACCTGTTCTGGGGTCTGTTGGGTAAAATGACGTACCCTTTGGTGGTAAACAAATATGGCAATTGAAAATCTCCCATAGACAATAGTCCCATTTAAATGCACATTTATGGGGAATTTCCCATTGCCATGTTAGCTTCAAGGCTCAGGTTCCTTTGGCAGTGATTGCCAGGCCGTGGCAAGGCGAAGCTCAAGGGCAAAGGCAAAGGCTGGGAGTCAACGGGGGGACCCGAAGGACCCGAAGGACTCGAAGGACCCGAAGGACCCGAAGGACCCGAAGGACCCGAAAATGGATTGACATTAACGGACTGTTTTGTGTATGTTTGTGTTCAGAATGTTCAAACATCGCCAGGTTAGAAGGTGACTTGCTCCAGTTCTTCCGTTTGCATCAATGAACGAGGATGAAGTAGGATGACGTTCTTGTGACATGAACAACTCTCCTGCCAGGTTCAAAGCCCGAGAAGAGCCGTCGCGGAAAGAAACCAAAAAGATGCATCCGAAATCCATCCTGGCTAGTTACACACTGAAAAGACCCCAGAAATGCATAGCCATGGATAGCCATGGTGAAGCACCGTCGGATTGCGACATGAAGTTCTGTTCTTGAGAGTACCCATGGATACCCATGGTGTGATCCGGGATACATCAAGGAGCAGGGGGCTGCAATTGACACAGCCAAATCTGCAGGACATGAGTAGAAAACAGCTAAACACGAGGTCGGTGGAAACATATTCCTTTTG